ACTCGTAGAAGCTATAGTCTCTGAACATCAATCGTGTCTAGCCTGTTTCAACAGCTGACGAAAATGTTTAAATAGTGACGATACAATTAAAAAGTTACGGTAGTGTCTAGCCTGTTTCAACAGCTGACGAAAATGTTTAAATAGTGACGATACTATTAAAAAGTTACGGTAGTGTCTAGCCTGTTTCAACAGCTGACGAAAATGTTTAAATAGTGACGATACAATTAAAAAGTTACGGTAGTGTCTAGCCTGTTTCAACAGCTGACGAAAATGTTTAAATAGTGACGATACAATTAAAAAGTTACGGCAGTGTCTAGCCTGTTTCAACAGCTGACGAAAATGTTTAAATAGTGACGATACAATTAAAAAGTTACGGTAGTGTCTAGCCTGTTTCAATAGCTGACGAAAATGTTTAAATAGTGGCGATACAATTAAAAAGTTACGGTAGCAATGCCTTTGCTCGAAGAACCCTCGAAAACTACACTTGTTGAAACCCTAAATTAATTATTTTATTTTTACTGTAAAATTGTTAAATAAAAATTTATTTTACATTCACCTATTTTTCTAAATCACAAAATACAGCAAACATTTATTTTTAGTTTCAATATGCACACTTAAGAGTATGCACACACGACTCTGTTATCTCATGTAGGATAAATTTGAAAAACATTATATTTTGTGTTGATATTTTGCAATTTCTATAAATACAAAAATCTGCTTTATGATGTTTCTATAGTGAACATTAAATAAAGTGTTCGTGTGTAGTAAGTTAAAATATCGTGAAAATATATCAAGAGGGAGTACTCACAAGGAACAGAAGTTTAACAAAACACCTACTCACCAACAAGTCCTTCTGCAAGTCAGACAGCTTAGAAATGACTTGGTCTTTCTCTTTCATTAATTTTTCCTTTAAATACTTTTCCTCTTCAAGTTGTTGGTAAACAGTATTAAGATCAGCATAATACCTAAAATACAAAATTATTGCATAGGACAAATCTGAGTGGATTCATAATTCATAGATAAAGATGTACACAAGCCACGCATTATAAAAACAAAAGGTTTTATAGGTTCCAGAAATAACACATTATTCTTTAAAAAAGGACGGCAATTCCACTTGTCTTCTCTAAAATAATTGTCCAAAAATTATACTTGTTTTAAATATAAAGAATGAATGAGTTTTTATTCTTGACAAATGTTTTACCTTATTAAGCTGTCGAAATATTATCATCAATGGAACAAGCACAAAACCCAATAAGCAGATTATATCAATCAATCTGGGAATTTTCGTTGACCGATTTGATGGAAACCAGTTCAAAAATTTGAAGTGGTGACTAATTGTCATCTCTTTGTAGAGATAAGTTAACATAAGTATATATTTTGATTGGTTGTTGGAAGTCATGTGCCCTCCAAGGTCAGATGGGAGTGAATGGATGGTAGAATTTCGTGCAGATTGATTGGAAGATATATTCACGCGACATGTTCTTTGATTATATTTTTATTTTGATATTATTTTAATTCGACGTTTATGATTATTATTGCGTGATCAATACTTGATTATAAACGCTTTGATTATACAGATTGGCAGAAGTGTTTTTTGAGCGGTTATAGCAAATAATCAATAGACTTATCACGTGATCAAAATACATACTTGGCTAGATTTATTCACATATTTATGTAACTTCCTCTTCTGTATGTAAGAATTATTGGGTTTTTGAGTAACGTAAAATCATTTAGGTGTGTGTATAATATTATGACATTACGCCTAATTCATTATTCGGTATTTTTCTTTTCTTTTTCACCAAAGGTAAAATTGAAAATACCACATATGACATAGAGGCCTAATGCTTTTTTTTGATTGGCCGTACCCTCTGCTGTGGACTGCAGTTTCGTCTAATCAAGGCTCGTCAGTACAGCTTGTGTCAACAAATCAAAGAAATACCTTTGGGCCTCTTATAATGGGGATGTGTATATAAGATTTATGGGGGTTTGAGTCCTTTTTAATTCACCATACAGTTACTTAAAATAATTTAGATGTGTGACCACAATAGAGGGGATTCAGAGCCTTATATTGAAACGAGTTTGAATATGCAAATTAGTAAATCACTTGACAACCACATCTGATATGAAATGTATGTATCAGAATGTATGTATTGACATTGTTTGGGGTTACATAAGTAATGTGATACCACTGAACGATGACAGCCTTTCGGGAAGAGTATATTACATTTTTTACAATGAAAATTATTTATAAACTCAGATAATAAAGATGTGTTCAGATCGGGGATTTAGCATTACTAAGACGAGGATATCCCTTGTACCTAATAACATTGGAAGACAAAGGAATATGGATAATGTGGGTTTTAAAGTTGATCCAGAAAAAAACATTCAACCAGTTCTACCCCAGAAGTGGAAAGCAGCGTGCGGGCGTCTTGTAATCAGTGAAACTCCACGAACACAAAAGTCAGTGGCAAAAGCCGTCTACGTATCCCTGACAGAAGTATGACGTAATTAAGAAAGATATCTGTCTTTAAAACCAACACAAGTTGTTTCAATGGCATATCTACACAACCTTCACATACCTCAAGCAGTCGGAGAATGAAATGGGCATTCATGCCACATATGAAGACATATTGCTCAAATCACCGGACACAACACTTATAGATTTCTATGCAATTGAGCTGTTGAAATAGTTTCTGAAAGCAGCCGCCTCTTACACTAGATGGCTTATTGAAAATAGTAGGGAGGAGGGGTGTGCTTTGAACATGACAGCCTTTAGACGAAGCAATGGAAAGTACGCTGCAGGACTATTGTCAAGATGCTTGGTCATCAGACAGAGCATGACCAGATGTGGCGACACAGCCGTGGGTTGTAATGACGTAATGAGGATAAAAATCACTTTAATATAACGTTCTTTATCACTTTTCAGTTTAATTATCGTTGCCGTTATCAAATTTTACCTTTGTGCAAGCCTCGGGGCCCATACGATTCGTTTAGCACCAATTAGAAGTTAGTGAGTCCAGTGGTTTAGGAGAAGGGGGTTTCGGGAAATCCTCGGATTCCCCAAGGGCTGGGGTGAAAAGTGTTACCTTTGTGCAAGCCTCGGGGCCCATACGATTCGTTTAGCACCAATTAGAAGTTAGTGAGTCCAGTGGTTTAGGAGAAGGGGGTTTTCGGGAAATCCTCAGATTCCCCAAGGGGTGGGGTGAAAAGTGTTACCTTTGTGCACACCTAGGAACCGAGACGATTCATTTAGAAGTAGGTACGACCAGCGGTTTAGTGACACATAGACACTTGGCATTCAACTTTTTAAATTGCAACTTCATTTTTATCTGGAAATAAATATATATCAATCCACTCGCAAACTAAACGTGTTTTATATAAAAATATTTTATTTTACAGAGTTTGTTATTGATCGACTTTTATACACTGTATTTTTATTTAATTAACTAATTTTAACATCAGTTTTTATTATCTATGTAATCCTGAAGATGTTTGTTTTGTACTTAAGTTTTTAAATCAATTTTTTTCATAGTCTATTTAAAATGTATAAACCATATCTAACCATTTTACAATAGGCAAAGATAATATTATCAAATACGTCAAAATGAAGCATATATTGTTAAGCTATAGTTCTTAAAAACAGCAACTATAATATGTAAATTCCCTAGCTTAATACAGTAATTCTGAAACGCGTAAATACATTATATGATTGGATAACACATATTATGGCATTTATAAAACTTGACAACCGTTGACTCTGTTGCCACAGTCGATTAGAAACACGTTATATTCAAACTATATATGACTAGCTGTAGTTTTCGTTTCAAGTTCTACTGACGTCATTTTTATGAAAGTCTTCGATAGGAACATTATATATATATGGTATTCATCCAAACTCTGAACTAAATACACCTGTATATGAAATTATAGTTGTTGTTCATTGTCCATTTTTATAACTTACATGATGTTTAAGTATATGTGTTTACTTGCTCATTTAGTGTTTAATTTTTACTTGTTCATTTAGTTTCATTCATCAAAAAATATGTTTTAGTTCTTAACTATATTCAATGCAAAATAGTTTACAACATTTCTTGAATGACATTTTGAGTGATGTACCTCTTAGTAAATGTTAAATAATAGAGAAGACTCTTGTTGATACTTTGATGGCTTAAATCAAAGATAAGGTCGCCACAGAAGACTTTCCTACTGATACCATGATGGTTGAAGTAAAGAAGGAGCAAAGAAGAAGATTTTTCTGCTGAAACCGTAATGGCTGAAAACGAAAAGTTGCAAGTTAAGATAAATTTCTCTTTTAACAGTTCTCTTGACGAAGAAGTAACAAAAATATTGAGTGCAAGTGGAAATAAAGTAAATTTCCCATAAAAAAAAACACATCTAGAGGGCGACTTTTGACAATGATCAACTCTGATGTACAAAATGAATAATTGCATTTTTTGGCTTCTGCTAGGAAAAACACTAAATAAATCAAGGCAAAAAGAAACTAGCAACTTCACCAGGATGCGTTGCCTCCCCCCTCTTCTCCATCTGTTCAAGTTTATCTAAAGAAGGTACCCAATTCCAACGCCAACGGATTATTCAACTAAGCGTCGTTTCTACAGTTCAACACTGTTGTATGTAACAGCTCAAATCAGATAGAGAAAATACACACACGATATTTAAACCATCACCATGATTTATTATAAGTATCAAGGGATATTTGTTGTTTGAATCGTATCAGTGAAGCAAAGGATGACGTGATTCCAGGAGTTAAAAATTAGGCTACTCCATCACTAGCTATCAGCTTTAGACGCAGTGAAGAAAGTAAAACAGTTTGTCACCAGAAGTAACCCTAGAACACAGTGATCCACTGAAGCTAAAATAGGATCCTCCTTTGGAATCGTAAACAAGATAATCATATGGATCAAGGTCTAAAAAGGTGATACACGAACCATATTTAGAAGCTTCTCTCAAAGCACATAGCCAAATAGAAGACCAACTGTCGAAAGATGAACGAAATGTGTGACAATTGACAATGTGTCATCTCTTTTAAGTGACAGTGTGTCATCCCTTTTAAGTGACAGTGTGTCATCCCTTTTAAGTGACAATGTGTCATCCCTTTTAAATATATCTACTTAAGTGATTTCAGCAAAGTCCAGTCAATAATTATACAACATTTCACAGGTTATTTAATGGATTTATGGTGGTTGCAGATAGTAACTGTAATGGTACGTTAAGCATCCACAGTTTTATGGTGAGGATACCAAGATTGTCGAAACTTTGTACACTTGTTATTTGTAATCAAGTTTCATGTCACTCAATAGCTAAGTAATTACATTCTTGTATACAATGGTGTTCTTTCTTAGCATATGTGTATAATGTTAAAATTATAAATAACACACAAGTCTTAGTCTCCATTTGATAATTCGAGATCTGTTTCATACTTTATTATTTCCAGTTTTTTCCCCATAATACCACTTGTAGTTTCTTCTTTTGATTGTCAAGCATGGAGGTAATGGACATATAACTTTACAGGTTTAATAAATGCTTTATATATATAGTTAGAATTGTGTGTGTGTAATAGGATCCTTAACACTCCCACCAACTTTCAACAGCAAAATAATGTTTAATGCGTGTGTTTGTTTGCTTTGAATTTCGCGCAAAGCTACACGAGGGCTATCTGCGCTAGCCGTCCCTAATTTAGCAGTGTAAGACTAGATGGAACACAGCTAGTCATCACCACC